TTATATATATATATATATATAAAACAATAAAAAATTGAAATGGAAATACATAAAAATGTAAAAAATACTAAAAATAAAAAATATTACAAAGCATTATTAAAACCCCTATCTGCATGCAAATAAACGCATGCATGGGGCATTGTGTGTGTGAGCGGAGTGGGTGATCCGTTACCGCACAGCAATCGTGCACAAAACCGCGTGGATGGCCAGGCGGTCACAGAAGCACAAACCACCGCCGATCGCGCTGGCAGTGCCATTATTGTCTGACAGCACTGACCAATGAGAAGCTCTTCTTGGCACTGCTAAATACGGTTTTGGTTAAATTTGTTTTCTTTTTTTGTATCAAGACAAGTAGATTGTCATGGGGGACAAGTAGATCAGCCCCCCGCTTTAGTCCTTGGACAAGTAGTTTTTTTTAAAATTTCCACACCCCTGACCATGTTAGTGGTGCACTATAAACTGTCATGGACAATCTGACCAGTACTTTTGTTAAAGGTAATTAATTGTATCTTTTAGGAAGCATATATATCAAATAAAGATACCAATTTAAAACAGAGAGCGGATCTCACTATCTGCTATCACTGGACACTGCAGAATTATGCTATGCTGTGGCCTGCATTTTCTAGCCCACTCATAATATGCCCTATGGATTCCTCAGTGCATATGCTTCACTATCTGCTATCACTGGACACTGCAGAATTATGCTATGCTGTGGCCTGCATTTTCCAGCCCACTCATAATATGCCTTATGGATTCCTCAGTACTTAGCGCTAAATATAAATAAATCTATTGGGCACTGCAGGCTCTATATACTGTAGCCTGCATGGGATGTAAAATGCAGGAGGACCCCTCATATGACTTTGACAATATTGCTCTACTTGCTTTGGTGTCCCTATAAAAATTGGTAAATCAAATATTTTTAAGTAACTGTAGGCCCATACTGCCGTTTTATAGATGGAGTGCAGTGTGTTTAAAACAATAACTCTTACAAATACGATTTATATCAAGCCAATTCCTTTTACGTGTATCAAAAAAATCTATGCATTCTGTTTAACTGAATTTTTGTTATTTATGGGTTATAGCTGAACTCCTTTTGGAAGCTTCTAGTAGGTCACACAAGTACAACCATGTGGTGGTGTTTTGTTAAATAAAGGTTATACAATACATACTGAAGTACAAGAATGGCGAGTATAGGCAGCTGAGCATATTTAACTATTTTATTTATATTTGTAAGTTTAATATCTGTGATTTGCAGGATTAATATGTCTTTTTTTTCCTTTTGCAGCCACAACAAGAAAAAAAATCTAGTCAGGTAAGAATAACTTGTTGTATTTACCTTTTAAAGCCAAGTTTGTGTGCCATAGAATAAGCATGCACTTCCCACAACCATGTAAAAAAACAAATCCAGCTTAAACTTTTTTCAGATTTTTATTGATGTCTCACTTTTTAATCTTTGTGACGCCAAGAAATAAAGGGGAATGTGGGTCACACGGACAGGGAGACATTGATAGCAGTAAAAATCTTATGATCTAACCATTCTGAGTTTAAACATGTTTTGAGGGGAGGGGGCAAAACGGAGAGGTAGTATTGTGCTGGATTGTCGGGGACTGGATGCTAATCTGGACAGGATGATTCTACAGAGACCAATTAACAGTCACAGGCTGCCTTCAGAGCTGAGATTATAATCTAATCTAGCTCAAAGTGACTGGATCAAGAGTGTTGTTGCATGTCTGTGGGTAAGTTTAGACTGATTTACAGAAAGTTATCAGATTCCTGGGACCCCCTGTACAACAGTGCTTAGACTGGGGAGAGTGAGAGGGAGGAGCACCACTAGGAGATAGTCATGTTCTGCTGTGAGCTAAAAGGGGGCGTACAGACAAGATTAGACATAGAGTGATCACTCATTGCTGTGCTACTGCTCCTCCATTGTCCAGTCAACAAGCTAGGTGTGTTCTTGACCAAGCTCTGTTGGTGTTGGCATCTGACTAAATCTCTTACCAGTATGGCTTCACAATTGTAACGGCTTAAAACTTGAATGAGCTTGTGTCAATCAGCTTTAAATGGGCAAACGCATAGTGCTTTTGATGTCCTTTTGAGGCGTTTCTGAGATCATTCATAATTATTGCAGGTGCAGTTGACCTATATTTGACCTGCTTCAGGTGCTTTTTTCAGTCCCATAGACTTGCATGGGTAGGGAAGCATTTCTGAAGTGAACAAAACCCCTAACATTGTCCCTTATGGAAATTGGGACAATGTCAGACTGTATGTGCTTGAAAAGTTTTTTCCCCCACTGTGCTGAAAATAAACCCAGTTTTTTTAATTACCTCAGACATATTGCAGGCACCTTCAGCAGCTCTCAGCCCTGAGGGGGCCAGGCTGAGAACAGGGAAGATCTACATTAATAATGTTTGCAAACTGTGTTAGTGTCTACTCATTTTGGTTTAGGGGATGGATTATCAGTGGTGGGGTAATTTAAAGAAAAACTTGTCCGAGGACTAAAGCCCAGTCTGCTTGTCCCTCATGACAATCTACTTGTGATACAAACAAATAATTTTAACCAAGCCGTATTTACCAATGCTAAGAAGCACTTCTCATTACACCTGACCGCACTGGCCAATGATTGCTCACAATTTGCGAGCGAAATTCAAAATCCATGGCGCAGGGCTGTGCTGGATGGCCGTATGGTGTACAGATGGGTACACCCGTAGTAGAGGAGGGGGAAGGACCGTTCGCTGAAAGGTAAGTATTGCGGGGGCCATATTATAGCTGGTAATTCCATTTTCCCAAATTACTTGGAAAAGTAAACTTACACTTTAATGCACATTGTGCTTGTTAGAGAGAGCTGTTGCCCGGCTACCATAGTATGGCACACAGTGGAATGGGGGCAGCAGTCGCACACAATGCCCTTTGGGTGCATTTATTTGCTAAGATAATTGCCCGCTATATACCGAGAGAGCCGCAGCCGGGACAGATTCCGACAATACTGCAAAGATTCACCCAGCTGGCTTATTGACAGCGGGTTTATTGACAGCGGGCTCTGCCTATCTAGAGGCAGAGCCAGCTGTGCCGACCCTCCTCCCCTGTCCGTTCCTCCAGTCAACGCTGGAGGATCGGAGAGGGGCAGGGGGAATCCCTGCAGGGAACGGTGAGTGATGGTCACGGCTCTCTGCAGGGAAATTATCAAGAAGCGAGCGACGGTATGTGTTCTCTCACTTCCTGATCTATAGAGTCGACGTGTGACAGTTTCAGTGTCACATGTCGGCTCTAACTATGAGGATGAGTGTAAATCACTCCCAGTCTCCCATTTGCAGTCCACTCCTTGTCATCCTGTCGTGCAGGCGTCTGACATAAATCTATAAGCGGTTCTGCTGATGCTCATTGTTGAAACATTGTTCACTGTTGACACTCTCTGGAAGCCCACTCTGAGCAATGAGATGCTAGTGCAAGTGCATATAGACAGGAAGCGGCTGAAAGATACTGCAGGGATCAGTGGTACTAAGATGCAAAAGGGGAAGAAAAAAGGTGAAAGCAGCATTTTCGTAAAGAAAGTTAAAATGTTTTGTTAGACAGCTTTTTAGCAAAATAAGGCTCTGTTGACCCCTACATTTTAGGTGTGATTTGGCATGCCTAAGTCAGGAACTTGCAAATTCCTACAGCAGGAATCTCAAATATTCTATTTGGAAGCAGCAGCTGTCACCTGTTCAAGTTAATGATCGGGTGACAGCGGCCGCATTTAAAATCGGCAGAACGCAGACACTCCGCGTGTAATCGTATATGTTATGATTACATGCTGTTAGGTATAGGTCACTATGCCTGGACACACGATCGATGATCATTAACTTAAACAGGTGACAGCTGCCGCTTCTAAACTAAATATTTGAGATTTCTGCTGCAAGAATTCGCAAGCTCCTGATGCAGAAATACCAAATCACACCTAAAGTGTAGCTGTGAATGAAGCCTTAATAAGCTCATCCACCTAATGGCATATTTATAATGCAATAACCAATCATTCACTGGTGGTGGATCAGTAACTGTCATTTAAAATACCTGCACCATGACCTGCAGTCAGTGTCAGATTTATTGCTTTATTAATATGCCATGTTTGTTTTTAGATCGTCCTTACGATTTAATATAATATAATGGATTGCATAAGAATCTGTAGAAGGGGGAATTCTGAAGGCAGATGTGCAAAATTGTTAGATTTTCTTATGCATACTTTCACTGAACAGAGTCCTCTCTCTGACCTACAGAAATGTATAAAATGTTGTGCAAAAACTCACCTTCATCCTGGCTAAACCGCACTCCTTACACTTGAGCCATGGCTGCACTGCTCTAATCTACAAATGGGGTTTGTGGAGGATCTGCCTTTCCTATGGCCAATCAATTGACAGCTCATACTGTACATCCTGTCACTTTATGAGATAAACTTATTTCCAAACAAGTTAAGAACATCCCATATACACTCCTTTGTTTGGTTTAACTGGGCTGGTATTTATCAGCTTTGCCTGTAATGAAAGCAAAATAGTTATTTCATCCAGTTACTGTTTGTAAAACCTTGCCTGACATTCCTAGTTGTTGCTAAAAGGATATTGGACACAAATTGTAAACTTCATAAGCTATGTCCAGTCTGCAACACAGTTTGTTTGTTTTCAATGGGTTTCCTTTTAAAGGAGAAGAGTTCAGACTAAGAACTAACAAGGACATGAGCTCATAAGGACTTCCTAATCTGAGCAGTGTAAGGAAATGGTGATAAATTATATAAACATGCAGACTACATGGAAGTTCATGGAGGATAATGTATAGCTTAAACTACATTAAAAGCAACCACTTCCTTTTCCATCCGTTACCATCCTGAAGAATATCTCTATTGATCTATATTCAATGTGGCAGTGTGAAATTATTTGGAAGTTGATGCTTTTTCTGACAATGCAGATTGGTGTTCTCACACTTCTGCTGATGTTTTGGTTTATTTTCTAGCTAATGTGAATTTCACAGTTTAACCAAGAACATGTGGTTTTCTTTTTTTCTTTCAACCAATTCCCTAAAACTAAACATTTAAGTAAATCTCTTTGGCTTAGCCATTTTATCTTAGCTTATGAAAAAGATTTTTTTTTTAATTCTGTAAATGCAATTCTCAGACTAAGAATTGGACTTGTCGGTTAGATACCAGTCCCAATTACACATGCTCATTGCTAATTTCGTATTTGATAAGGTATCATGCTTAATATTCATACTGTGAAGTTGGCAATACACTGCATTTTTTTTCATTCAGCCCCACAGGCCCCCATACATGCTGTGCTATTGTATTCTGAGAGCCACAGGTGTGCTGCTATTGGAATACTTGAACAGTGACGGTTTGGTTTGATTGGCATCAGTCACTGTCCGGCCAAGGATTTTCAGACCAGCTCCTGTGAGTAGACTGAAAAATTGACTTCTGTTGAGCTGAGGAGTGCAGACAGGGCCTCACACTGCTCGAAAATGTTGGCCAAGTCAACAGGACCTAGCCAACGTTTTTGCAGTGTATAACCAGCTTTAAAAAATCATCTATATTCATCTCTGTATGTAAGACATCATTATTGAGGATATGGCAACAAAATGTGTAAGAGGCTGAAATGAATGGCCCTTCGAGTGAGGGGCTTCCCATGAGCAGGACAGGTCCTGTTCTTCAGTCTACCATATTGGGTCATTCAGTCCCACTGGCAAAACAGCATGCATGGAGGAATAGCTATTGTATTCAGATAGCTGGCACCCCCCAGACACAGTCCACCGTTCTTACCATCAGGAATTCCACCCTGAGAAATAAAATGAACACGTAGACAAAATGTGGCTGGAGGTAATCAGCAAAATAGAAATGCAAAAAGGTAAAAACTGCATTTTCTGATCGAAAAAGAAGAACATGGCAGTAGGGCTGCAACCAACTAATCGATTATTCAATAATGGTAATAAATTATGAGAATAGTTGTCAACTTTCCTCATTATCGATTAGTTTGCTGGATCCCCTAGGTCTCTCCTCCATGCTGGGAGGGGGGCACAGCAAGCAGTGGTTGAGTGCAATAGCCAGCCTGCAGTTTGAAATGGCCAATAGCAGGTTGGCTATTGCACCTGCCCACTACTTGCTGTATTTACATTCACCTGCCGTCTGTGGAATCTTGCCACTGGCAGCTGCCATTCCCTGGTTGAAGCTATTCAAGAGCAATGTGCTTACAATACAATTTTAATTTTTTTAAATAAAAAGATGGGAAAAAAGTATTTTTCCGTTTCGGCCAGACAAATTCTGCTGTGGGAGGTGTGTTGCAGTGCCATTAATTTCAA